TTTTTTTTTTTTTTTTTTTTTTTTGTACTGGGAATCAAACTCACGACTTGCACTTGCCAAGCAGGTGCTGTGCCACTGAGGTACATCTCCAGCCCCTGCTTGTAATATCTAATACAGTGTAATGCAATGCATGTACTTGTTATAATGAAGGGTTTAGGGAATAATGATGAGAAAAAAGTCTGGTGTACAGATGCAATGTTTAACAAATATTTTTTGATCTTTGGTTGAATTTGAGGATGTGGAACTGGTAGATGTGGCATGCTGACTGTACAATAAAGTGGGTGAAATTTTAAAAAACAGAAGAAAGTAGGAACTGGGAAGTGTTACTCCTGTTAAGATAACCTTGTTTTGGATATTAAGTGAATTGCCAACTTTCTTTATCTTGCACCACAGATGAGGAGAAGTGCTTTGAACCTAAGGCTCAGGGGTCAGTTAAAAAGAATGGCAGCGTGGAACAGAACGAAGATGATGATGTCGGGGTTGATAGCGATGATGATGATGGTGATGAGGATGAACAGGACGAGGAGGAGAAGCATAAAGAATCAAAGGTGACCAAGCATATGCCAGTTCAGAAGAGGTAAGCTGCTGAGCCCATTAGAGGTAGGAAAATCCTCCTGTCCTCGCGACCTCTCCACTGCAGAGTTGACGTGCGTCGTGAAGTTGAGTGGCTGATGTGTCACATCTTTAGTTCTGATTGTGCCATTGCAGAGCAGTGAAGAAAGCAGCCCCTGTAGAAAGCAGCGATGAAGATGATTCACAGGAGGATAGTGACGTGGAGGAAAGAGGTAGCATTGATGGTGACGAAGAACTAGTACCAAGTGACAGCAGTGCTGAAGAACAAGAGAATGAAGGTTTGCCTGGGTCTTGATAAATGCCTTAGACTTTAAAGACGTTACTGGGAAATGCACATCAGTTCTGTGCCCAGCCCTTACCCCCACACCTTTTTTGTTTTTTTTGTATACTCTATATTAAACCCAGGGTCCTTATGCTGAGCTATATCCCCATCCCTTGTTATTTTTATTTATTTTTTTACTTATTTTTGGTCTTTTTGAGACAGGGTTTTGCTATGCAGTTCAGACTGGCCTTAAACTCATAGTGATCTTCCTACCTCAGCCCCCTGAGTGCTAGGATTACCAGTGTGTGCAACCACACCCGGCCTGTTATTTTTAACTTTGAGACAGGGTCTCATTAAGTTGCTATGTAATCCATACTGGCTTGAACTTGTGATCCTCCTACCTCAAACTACCAGAGTGCTGGGATTTCAGGTGTGTACCACCGTGCTTAGCTTCAGGGCTGTTTTTATGTAGGACCCTAAATACTATCAAACTTATATTTAAATACTTAAAAAAAGAAACCTTTATATTCCTTTTTTCTAAGATGGTTTCGCTTGCTTGCTTTATTGTTTTATTTTTTAAATGAGTTTGGAGTGGTATTTGAATATTAAGATTCTTTCTTAGGAAATTTATTTAATTAATTAATTTATTTTTTGTCTTTTTGAGACAGGGTCTCGCTATGCAGTTCAGGCTGGCCTTGAGCTCACTCTGTAGCCCAGGCTGGTCTTGAACTTGCAACGATCCTCTTGCCTCAGCATCCTGAGTGCTGGGATTACAGGCGTGTGCCACCATGCCGGGCTCTGTTTTAGGAAATTTAAAACCTCACTTAATGCTGAAGTACTACCTCTTTCTCTCTTGATTGTCCATGTTGAATAAATACTGGATAAACAGGGTATATTACATGTTAACTCCAAACTAGATTGTAAACAGCTCCTTTGAGTCAAGGTGGGGTTAAGCACTGGATAGTCAACTCAGGCTTCCATGATGAAACATGGCAAACTAGCAGCTTAAACAAGAGAAACGTACTTTCTCGTAGTTCTGGAGGCTGGAAGTCCCAGGTCAAGGTGCTGGCTAATTCAGTTCCTGGGGAAGCTTTCTTCCTGGCTTGCAGACTGCTGCCTTCTCACTGTGTCCTCATGTAGCTTTCCCTGTAGGCTTCAGGGGGCAGAAAGAATAAATAAGAACAAGCCCTGGCCTCTTTTATAAGGACACCACTCCTATTGGATCGAGCTCCACACTTACGACCCCATTTTGCCTTAATTACCTCCCTCAATTCCCTGTCTCCAGATGCAACACTTTGGGAGTTAGGGCTTCAGTATATGAATTTTGGAGGGACACAGTTAAGTTCATAACAAGGACACCTGGGAGTATTTTGTAAAACTAATACCAATCCCCACTGCTACCATTATTGAGAATGAACTCATTTATTGAGGAAGGCAGTTCATTATAGAATGGGAAATGGCCAATTAGTGATCCTTTGATTTGTCTGGTTAGACATTTTTATTCAGCTATTTTGCTTCCTTTTCTGTAAGTCTGATTTGTTGGCTTGACCATATAAAAAAATCTGAGGAAATAAGCTTTTTCTGTGAAGATAATGATAGATACCTTAAAATGGAAGCTTTTCCAGTGAAGCTACTATGAGATCCCCTGATTAGCTGTTTCTTACCATTCTTTCACCTAAAAATTTAAAGGACTGGTTTCTGATAATGAGAGAAAGTTAAAAGTTACAAGGGAGGAAGCATATAATACGAAATTAAAAGTTCCTCATCAGTCCGCCCCAAAATTCCCTCAAGTAACTGCTGATTTTTCTCATGTAAACTTCCAGAAATGTTCTGTGTACATATAAACATGCATGTTTATTCTTCAAAACAAGTTGTGAGTGTCCCGTAATAACCAGATCCTCAGGCTCATAGGACACATACTCAGAGATGACAACTGTTAATGTTTGTTATGTGTGCAGAAAATGTCTTAACATAGTTATAAGCAGATCACATGTGTATACACATGTATACAATATAAGTATGTTTGTGTGTATGATTTTATGTGTATAGGTATATTTTGCCCGTAAAAGTTCTAGAAATTATGTTTTGCAGAAAGTTTACCCTGTCGTAGCAGTGTGGGGGAATATCTTTTTCTCACACTTTTTTTAATCAAAAAAATTTATTTTGTTTTTTTGAGATTGGGTCTTGCTGTGTAGTTCAGACTGGCCTTGAACTCATGGCAGTCCTCTTGTCTCAGCCTCTTGAATGCTAGCTGGGATTACAAGTACGTGCAACCATGCATGGCTACACATTTTTTACTGCATTGTATTCCATTAATCTTTTTGGTTTTGCCAGTTTGTGGGTGAAAAATAGTATCTTCTTTCTTGGGATGTATTTTTCTTTTCTTTCTTTCCCTTTTTTTTTTGGTGCTGAGGATTGAGCCTGGGGCATGGCAAATGCTAAAGGACCTGCTCTACCCCTGAACTGCACCTCCAGCTCCTGTGTTACTTTTCGTTTTTTTCTTTCCTCCCGTGCTGGAGATTGAACCCAGGGCCTTGTGCATGCCAGGCAAATGTCCTACCACTGTGCCACATCCCCAGCTCTTTTTATTTAGAGATGGGTTTACAGAGTTGCTGGGGCTGGCCTTGAATTTGAGATCCTCCAGTCTCAGCCTTGTGAGTAGCTTGATTACCGCGACTGTGTCTGGCTGTTTCTCTTTCCTGTTTTTTTGAGGCAAGGTCTTGCTGTGTAGTAAAGACTGACTTCAGACTTGCAGCAATCCTCCTGCCTTCTTAGCCTCTTGAGTACTAGGATTATAGGCAAGTGCCACCATACCCAGCTTGGATGTTTTTCTTTAATGATGAGTTTTCATATATTTAGTTGTTGATCCTTTGTCCATTTAAAAATTGTTCTTAAAAGTAATTTTTGTAGAATTTTTACATATTTAAGAAGTTAGCCCTTTTACATATGATTTGCACTAGTTTTGTTTTTTCAGTTTATTTTTCTTCTTACCTTAGATGTGCAAATCTCGAAAACAAAGAAGAGGAAATTACCCTCTGATGTGAATGAAGGGAAAACTGTTTTTATCAGGTATGCCTCCTATCTCAAGAACTGCTGTTCGCATTGTTTTCATGGTTCTCTAGCCCCATCCAGTCCAGTCCTATCCAGTCCTGTCCCATCCCTTCTCTATCCTTCCTTCCTTTCTCTTTCCTCTATCCTCTCCCTTCTCCCTCCTCTTTGCCCTTTTCCCTCCTTTCTCCCTCTCCTTTCTCTCTTTTCCTCTGCCTTCCATCCCTCCCTGCCTCTCTTCCTCAATTTCTTCTTTGGCATTGTTTTTGAACCTAGCCCAGAAGGCTAAATGCCATGAGACTTAACCAAACAATGAGAAATTTAGGAGAATCAGATCTATAAAACAAGATGAGTAGTAGCAAGTGTGCTGGTGTTTTATCTTCTGAGATTTCATTCTTTGTAATTGAGGTGGTATCATTGGAACAAATCAACTCTTCAACTGTTAGAAAAATCGTAGTTCTGGACTTTTAGGGAGAGTGCAGGGGCGATATCCACTTTCCCCAAATGATTTGTCTCTTCATGCTAATTAGTTTTTAAAGCAGTGTTGAGAATTAAGTAAGATGTGCCATCTGTGTCCGGGAAAATGGGGCGCAGGGATTGGGGGTAAGGTAGGTTTTACTGCATGCTGCTGTTTCCGCCTTTCAACTACAATAGATTGGCATTTTCATAGGTCAGGGTGTCCTCAAAATACCTCAAACAGCCTTGCTGTCCTTTGCTTGGTTCCACTGCACTGGGGTCATTTGGGTCTTCTTTGAGAGATGTGTGTTTTATCCTTTGTAGAATCTTTTAAGATTGCTTTTGTTATACAAGTAACTTCTGTTCATTGTAAAAGGTTTAGGAAGTGTGTGAGCAAAAAGACAAAGTTAGCCTTCCTACTCAGAGCGTCCCCACATGTGCCTGTTCATAGATACTTACAGATGGATTCAGCTGTGTAGGCTGTGCTGTAGGCCGCTTTCTCACTTAACAGTATGTCTTCCTATGTTTTTTTTTAACCATATTATTTAAAACTTCCATATAAGTAATTTTGTATTTGTAGAGGATTCTGTTTATCAAGAAGGAAGGAGCATTACCCTCAGAAGCCTCCATACCAAGAGTACTATTTCTTAGATGTCAATTAGTTAATAAAGAAATTAGAGAAATAAAGGGATAGAGAGGGGAAGAAGGATGGCTGTATGTGATAAGGTCAATTAGAAGCGTGATGTCATTAGGAGATATCTTATTGCAGAAAGCTTTGTCTGGATTATTCCGTTAAATAGAATCAGGGCTAGGGTTGTAATGAGGACTGTTCTACTCAGGGAAGGATGAGCATAGCTGGAGAAATGAAGACTTCACACTATTATGAAGTTGAGGAAAACAAAATCTTCCAACATTTTAATTCCATCAAAAGAATAAGTGTCCCTTATCTGGAATGCATGGGACCAGAAATGTTACAGATTTCAGAGGTTTTTGGATTTTTGAATATTTACATTGGCTTTCCCAGTTGAGTGTACCTAATCCAAAAATATAAAATTTAAAATGCTCCAAAATCTAGAATTTTTTCTTTTTTTTGAGAGGGTCTTGCTATGTAGTTCAGGCTAGCTTTGAACTAACTATGTAGCCTAACCTGGCCTTAAACTCACAGTGATCCTCCTTCCTCAGCCTTCTAAGTACTTGGATTATAGGCATGCACCACCACACCTGGCTAATCTAGAACTTTTTGAGCATTATGTCAGTACTCAAAAGTTTCAGAGTTTTTGTTGAGATTCCATCTTATTATGTAGTTTAGGCTGGCCTTGAGCTCACTTTGTAGCCTAGGTTAGCCTCGAATTTATGACAGTCCTGCCTCAGCCTACCAAGTGCTAGAATTGTAGTGTGTGCTACCACACCTGGCTTTGAATCTTTGAGTTAGAGATACTGTACATGTAGTTTTCTTTCTTTCTTTCTTTCTTTCTTTCTTTCTTTCTTTCTTTCTTTCTTTCTTTTTTTTTTTTTGCAGTTAGCTAGTAAACTTTACCATGTTTGCTTTTGTGGTACTTTGAAGGATTTTCTGACTTTTGTGAAATATTAATGACTAAATTTTTTTTTTTTTTTTTTGTCTTTTTGAGACAGGGTCTCACTGTGCAGTTCAGGCTGGCCTTGAGCTCACTTCGTATCCTAGGTTGGTCTTGAACTCACAACGATCCTCCTGCCTCAGCCTCCCAAGTGCTAGGATTACAGGCGTGTGCCACCATGCCCGGCATTGTAAAATATTAATGAAACCTGAGTTTCATAATGATACAGCAGAAAATGTCTGAGAAAAAGAGAAAGAGAGAAGGGAGAGAGGGAGAGAGAGGGAGAGAACTTTTCTCAGTAGACTCCTATGAGTCTGAATCTTGTGGATATAGTAAGAGAAACTAATTATGGTAACATTAAGTGAAAAAGCATTTGTTGATAAACACTGGGGTGTCTCATAGAAGCACGGTTATTGAAGAGCAGACCTCAAGAAAGGGATGAAAATCTGGATAGTTCTGTGACCCTCACTGCTGGAGAAGACTTTGGGTCTTTTCTCTGGAGACACCACTATTTTTTTTTAAGTGGTATAACATTCTGTAAAGTCAATTGCTCAAAGAATACAGCTTAGTGAAATTTTTCATATGTATGTATTCATGTAATCACCACCTAGGTCATGACACAGAATTTTTTTTTTTTTTTTTGTCTTTTTGAGACAGGGTCTTGCTGTGCAGTTCAGGCTGGCCTTAAGCTCACATTGTAGCCCAGGCTGGTCTTGAACTTGCAGTGATCCTCCTGCCTCAGCCTCCCGAGTGGTAGGATTACAGGCGAGTGGTGGGCTTACAGGCATGCGTCACCACACCCGGTGACACAGAATATTTATAGCACCTCAGAAGTCTCCCTCTGGTGAAGCACTGCTATTTTGAACTTACTCTGCATCTATAACTTCTTGTGTTTGTGTATGCTTAAGTTTTAAATTCCTGGGCAAGATATAGGAGGGTCAGTCAGTTGGGACCAAAGGGCAGAGTCATATAGTAGAGGCCTGGCTACTGAGGGCCGCCTCTGTCTATTGGGCCTATTTCTGAGCAAAGGAGGCTGGTTTTGAGGAAAGGACACTTGATGTCATTTACTTTGTCCTGGAACACAGGATCTCACTTTGTCACGGACCTTTCTTATGACCTTTTTGGTTGTGTTCCATAGAAACCTGTCCTTTGATTCAGAGGAAGAAGAACTTGGGGAGCTCCTCCTGCAGTTTGGAGATCTTAAATATGTCCGCATTGTCTTGCATCCAGACACAGAACATTCTAAAGGTATTTGCTGTCAGTTGGCCTCGCCCTAAAGGGTTTTGGTCTCTGCCCTAGGCATTGACTAGCTTACATGAGAGCAAAATATGCTATTCCGGGAAGGTCCACAGTCCATTCCAGCCCACTGGCTTCCATAGAAGGCAAGGACATTCTTCTATAGCTTGTCTTTTTCTGAGGTTGTCTTCTATAATGTCAAATTCAGCATCTTTAATGGTGTTGCCAGCCATAATTTTATCTAAGCATTTTAAGCTCTTGCTTATTTACTTTAGGGTAATGAATTCCATTTGTTGTTTTTTGAATTTCAAATGTGATAGCATCTCATGGGTATTAATCATTCTGCATTGCTTGAAATTACTGGCATCTTTTTTTTTTCCCCTGTTGTTTTTGCTAGAGATGGAAGCTGACAGAGAAACTTTGTTGCCTGGCAACAGTCAGAAGAAAAACTGTGTAGCAAGCGTGTTATCTGAATGAAAAGTTTTTCCCCATAAACCTATTTATTTTGTATTGGAAGAGTTAACTATTCCACATTCTAGTACATTACTGTTAGAGAAACATCTTTTCAATCCATTCATAATCTTTGACTTTATGGACTGTAGCCATTCTAAAGCATTGAGTTAATTCTGATTCTTGATTCCTTTGAGGTCTAGCAAAAGCTATAAACCTTCTCCTCTGTGGGGAGGAAAATGCCACTTCAGAGGGTTTGTGGCTTCTATAGAGCTTATCCATGGATTAAGAACTTTTTCCTCCCAGTGCTAGGGATCAAACTTAGGACTTGTGCATGATGGGCAAGTGCTGTGTACTCCTGGGCTGTACCCGTGTGTGTGTGTGTGTGTGTGTGTGTGTGTGTGTGTGTGTGTGTGTGTGTGTGTGTGTGTGTGTGTGTGTGTGTGTGTTTGTGTGTGTGTGTGTGTGTTTGTATTTGTTTGAACCTAAACCTTATTTTTAGAATTACTTGCTTTGTGGTCTTTTCTTAGCAAAAAAAAATGTAAATCATGCATCCCTATATTCTGTCTGTAATATCCCTCTGAGCATGCCATTTCACTACCTAGAAGAGCTAAATACTATTTGTAGACTTTTAGGGAAATGTTAGGATCGAACCCAGTACTGACCTTGGAAATTCCAATGATAAATTCTTAGCTGCAGAGAAAGTACCCATTTTCTTCATATTAGATGAGTAGGCCAATCTACCCATTAGAAACATTTCTCCTTGTATTTTTAACCCCTGTATTTTCATTACATTTGTCCCGCGGTACCAGTGGGGGATTAGTTCCAAGACCAAGGCAGACACCAAAATCTGTGAGTGTTACGATTTCTTTTATAAAATTGCATATAACCTATGCATATCCTCTTGTATACTTTAAATCATACTTAGATTATGTACAGTATCTAATACAATGTAAATGTCTGTTCAACTGTATTGTTTTAGGGAAGGTCAAGAGAAAATGTCTATACATGTTAAGTATAGACACATTTTCTTTCCCCCTAAATATTTTCATTCTGTGGTTGGTTGAATCCACTAATGCAGAATTCATGGAAATGGAGGTCTGATTGTATTTGTTTGTACCTGTTGAATATCTGTTAATACTGTATGCTATGATAGGTGATCCTTATTCCTAAGGCATTCGTTCTGTTTGGGAGGATACTAGTGATGTAAGAGATATGAATGGAAGATGGGAAGAGGTGGAGACACGGAAGTAGGCGCCTTCAGCCCTGCCTGGAGGAGGCAGAGAGGGCCTCAGTAAATGGTGACCCTGGAGTTGACCTGCTCCATGTGTCCTTTCAGTTAGTTGGCTGTCATTCATTCCTACAGAAGATAATGCCCAGTAGCTCTAGGTGATATGGTAGTATTTTTATATATGAGAAGATATTTAAAGTTTAAAGGCTTGCTAGCAAAGTATTGTGAAACTTGTATTTCTTTTCTGTAAGTCATTTTTTTCCCTTATAAAGCTGCTTATTATCAGTAGCAGAAATTTATTTGGGTTGCTTGGCCCTGCATCTAACCATTGAATGACAGGCCTTGTGAAGATTCTAGAGCATGAGCCAAGAATTGAGTGTATCTTTCTGGTTTCCTGTGGTATTCATATAATAGCAGCCTTTTTTTTTACCCCAGAAGGCAGATCTGCTCTTATCTGATGCCTCTCAAGTGACTCTGAGATAGTGAGATGTAGTTAATTTTAGGGTTAAGTGGTTCCTCCCTCATCTTTTAGTTCTCTAATAGGCACTCAGTAAGTGATGTTGAATTAAATGTTCTGCTAGTATTTTGCTGTCATCTCGTATGGATTTTATAGAAGAGAGTCAATGTGGCTGTAGTACTAGGATACAATAGAGAAGATGAAAGAAATAATAAAATTTCACGTTGAGAGCAGGTATACTACTCTCAGATTTGCTTTTGACTCTTTATTACCTAACATAGAGCCTGTCTCATAGTGCTTCATAAATGGATGTTTCTTACCCTTTGATTCTGTGTTAGGCTGTAGCTGTTTGTCATGTAGTATTGTCTTTGACTTATTGGTTGACCATGGAGTTTGGGATTAAACTGAATTTTGTGTTTCTCTGTAGGTTGTGCATTTGCCCAGTTCATGACTCAAGAAGCTGCTCAGAAATGCCTTACAGCTGCTTCTCCAGAGACTGAGGTGAAGAAGGCATTTCTTTTTTCTTTTCTGTTTTTTTCTTTTCTCAATTTGGGCTTACTTTGGTTTTAAACTCCCATAAAATAAATTCCTTACTGCTGATTACCCTCAGCAATTTTTTTTTTTTTGAGACAGGGTGTCTCTATGTAGTTCAGACCAGCCTTGAACTCACTGTGTAGCTCAGGCTGGCCTTGAACTCATGGCAGTCCTCCTGCCTTAGCCTCCCAAGTGCCGGGATTATAGGCATATATCACCACACCCAGCTTTTTCTTTTTTAATAGAGTCTTGCTGTACACTTCAGGCTGGCCTTGAACTCATTTGCTATGTAGTTCAGGCAGGTCTTGAACTTGAAGCAGTTCTCCTGCCTCAGCCTCCTGAGTGGTGGGATTACAGGTGCAGGTGTGTGCCACCACACCCAGCTTGCCCTCAGTCTACCTATTGCACAGCTAGACTAAACGTTGTGAGACTCGGGGATCTACTTGTAGCCGGCCAGGCTGAAACACCCTGGGGCGTGGCTTCTGTAGCATAATTGTATTGTAGTTCATTGAGTCCTTTTTGTCGGTGCTCCTTGCCAGGAGCTTAGTTTCTGCTTGTTATATATTTGAAGAGAGGGTTGCAATCTGTTACAGGGTGGTGGGCTTAAACTGGATGGCCGGCAGCTTAAGGTTGACTTGGCTGTGACCCGTGATGAAGCTGCGAAACTTCAGACAAAGAAAGTGAAGAAGCCTACTGGAACCCGGAACCTTTATCTGGCCCGAGAAGGCTGTGAGTAGTGGAATAAGGTGGGAGCCAGGCTTTTAAGTAGCTGGCCTTGTCCCATGGCAGTAAGCCAGCAATTGTATATTTTGGGGCATGTTTCAAATTTTTAAAAAACAGAAATTTCTTCCTTTATTGGTTTGTATTGTTATTCCACTTTAGTAGGTATGGCTTTCTCTTAGGCAGCTTTCACCCATTTTGTGGATTAACCAGTCTTGTTATCTTTTCTGCCTGATTGCTTTTAGACTTTTTCATTAGAGGATCGGCAAAGCAAAGAGGAAGGAAAAATTCAGGTTATCTTTGCTGCTTCTGAAGGAATTGAAAATTATGACTAAAAGTTCTCTTTTGGATTATTCATGGATTTAAAATGTGCAGCTAGCACCTTTCCTTCATGTCACAAGGGAAATCAGAAATTAGCTTGAAGTTAAAAAACAAAATCCCTTTTTCTAGGTCACATAGTATTTCTCAGCCTTCCTTTTGCACAGCTGCACAACCCTGATTAGTCATGTGAGGCATCAGCCTTTGGTGTTAGGCCGCTCTGGCAGGAGTCTATTCTCTGGGTTGGCTTGTCTTGCTGCTGAGTGATTGGACCCCAAGTACATGAGGAGCAGCTGAGTTTCAGGGGCAAGTTGTAGGTGGAACATTTTGCATTCCAGATGCCTTAATAGTACTTATTTTCAGAACTTCCTCCAGCCCTTTGCATCTAACGTTGTATATGTATGTGAGGGGAGAGAAGGAGAATAACAACAAAATCACAGACTGTTCAGTATTTAGTCCTTGAGAGCACCTCTAAGCGCAGAACTTAGCCCTGTAGCCTATTTTTGGGCCTAACCAAATGCTACTATATCCTGGCCAGCACGGTCCTGTGGGCCCTGTACACAGAGTTTGCATCATTCAAATCACATTCCTCCTGTTGCTCAGTGAAAATTCCCTTGGTGATGTCTTGGCCTTTTTCCCTTTTCCTGCAGTGATTCGTGCTGGGACGAAAGCTGCTGAAGGTGTGAGTGCTGCGGATATGGCCAAACGAGAACGGGTGAGTGGCTTAGGCACGAGCCTTCAGGCTCACCATAGTTTATAAATCAATCAGAAACGATTACCGAATGCTATATTTGCTTACCAAAGAGCCAAGTATAAGTTATAGATCTTAATTTACAGCCTTGTTAGAAAAGCACACAGGTAAAATAGCAAGGAACCTGACATTATCTGTAGTATTATATCAGTGTTATATGGTATTGTGTGAACTGGATCTTACCCTTGCTTCCCTAATTCTCAGTGGTAAAGGTCTGCTGAGTAGCGTGCTGCCAGGTCATGCAGTAGGCACAGAGGCTTGGTCACCAGGGTGCTAGTGTTTGTGGAAGTGCAGTGGAGGGAGCTGCGTTAAGAGCAGAACATACTTCTGTGGTTATGGACCTGCCTTTGCCTCAAGGTGGCAGAGTTGAGACGAGACACCATTCTATCAAGTGTTGTCTAAGTTCCAGTTCCTTTTGGAAGGAGGCACTAAATAATTATTTTGAGTTAGTAGATAGATGAGGACCAGAGATAGATATGAACTGCAGTACTATGTATTATTTATTTATGGGTTACATTTTGAAGTAGGGAGTTTTTTCTTTCATAATCTCATTTTGGCCTCACATCATTGCTAAGAGATTCACTTTATATTTTGATCTGCAGTTCCACTTTGTGGATGAGAAGTGAAGTCTTTAAAATTTCATATGACAGCTAGGGGTGGTGGCACATGCCTTAATCTCAGCACTGCGGAGGCTGAGGCAGAATTGTGAGTTTGAAGCTATTCTAGGCTGCATAGCAAATTCAAGGCCAGTGTAGTAAAGCACAATCTCAGAAAAGAGAAGAACAAAAAGACTTCTTCAGTTCGATGGCCTTCTAGTTTAGATTTGAGTCAGGAGCCTGTGATTTTGCCACCCAGTATCTTACCTCTTTCAACTTTCTTCCTGTGTTGGGTAATATAAGGGAGGCTGTAGGAGTGGACACTTCCCTTCCTTTTTTTATATGTGTGGTTTTATGGGATGGAGGGCATGGTCTTTCCTTTTAAAGAATTGTGAACCTGTCTTTTAAAAGATGGATTGGACTGTTAACAATTGGTTGGTGTTTAAATTTTTTCAGTTTGAGCTACTGAAGCATCAGAAACTTAAAGACCAGAATATCTTCGTCTCCCAGACAAGGCTTTGCCTGCACAATCTTCCAAAGGCTGTGGATGACAAACAGCTCAGAAAGCTGCTGCTCAATGCCACTAGAGGGGAGAAGGGGGTGCGCATCAAGGAGGTAAGCATCGCTCTGCCCATTCAGAATTTGGTTCTCCTAGGCTGGATCACGTGTTTGTTTCTGGCTGTGGTGCCAGCTTGTCAGTAGATTTTCTTCTGGACGTATTGTCAGTATGCGAGGCTAAGGTAGGCAGGTTTCTTGGTTTTGCTTTTTTTCTTCTTAGAACTGTTTTGTATCTGATCAGATTATAGCAGAATGTGAGGAAGTATCCTCATGAATTAATTAGCAAGTATTTATTTTTGAGTTTTTCTTTTCTGTTTTTTTTTGAGACAGGGTCTCACTGTGTAGTTCAGGCCAGCCTCAAACTTGCAGCAGTCCTCCTGCCTCAGCCACTGAGTGCTGGGATTACAGGCATGCGCCACCACACCCAGCTAGCAAGTATTTATTAAATGCCTGCAGCGTCCTCAGCCTTGTAGTAGATGCTGTAATATGATTGCAGAGAACATAAGAGCATTTTACTAGGAGTTCGGCTCTTCCTGATGGGAAGTACCCAGTAGTGAGCACAGCGGTCCATACACACCTTCAGTAGTTGAATTAGAGAACACTGGGTTCCCAGTTGGACTTGATCTCACTGTCTGTGATTACAGAGTCCTCTTCTCTACCTCCGTAGCACCCTTCGTGTGTCACTTTGGTAGCACGTACTGCTATACTGGCCAGAAACTGTGAACCAGAATGATCTCTTTGGGCAAGTGTTATCTTATTATCTCCAAATCCTTGGCCCATCCTGGCAATTAGCAATCTCTCAGTCAGTATTTATTTTAAATGTGCCATTGCTAATTGGGTCTGCATTGCTCTGTTGCATCACCACAAATTGTTTCCCTCATCCCTGCAAGTCTTCAAAAGGTACACTTTGGGGTTGGGGAGATGACGTGGGAGAACATGCACATGTCAGCACATCTCACCACTGCTCCAAGTGGTGCTGGCAAAAGGGGTCAGTTGTATAATTTCTCACGTCAGCATCCACCAGACTTAGTGTCTGCACATTTAAAGCCTGTTGTAATTTGGAGAAGTTTCTGTGTATTTTATATGTATATTATATTGATTTTTCTCTTAATTCTTTCATTTGTTACAAGTATGGTGTCTTAGCAAGATAGTGTCTTAAAAGCAGGAGTTTACTGTATGCTTCTCTTGGTTCCCCTGCACTGCCGAGTAGTCCTGTTGTAGGCTCAGAGTGGGTACTGGACATAACACGAGGGTAGCATCCAAGTCTCCCCTGTACTTAGACTTTTCCATTACATGGGAACAGCGATTCAAGAATAATCTCATGTAAATAATCAGTTTTCTCAAAATATCCTACAAAACCTCAGTGCCCCAGTGCCTGCTGCATCTTGCTTAAGGATTTAGGGAAAATCGTTCCAGAGAGCACCTGACACTGAGCAAAGGAAGCTGAAACTTTTTGTATTTTTGAGGCTGCGTGTTAGGGCAACTTATTCCTATGCCTGGAAGGTTTTTCTCATTTGCAGCCATTAGACCTCTTCCCTCCCTTTATTAGTTTCCTTCCTGGGGGCTTTCTTCAGTGATGAGAGGTTGGGACAATTCTCTACTTTCAGTGAAGATTTGTTATGTAACTTAGAGTTACCACGTACCTCTTTGTATGTATTGTGAACAGTTAGCTTTTAGGAATTTTCCTCAGGAAGTCTTCTTGTATTTATGTGCTTTTTTGATCTGTGCTTATTGGTCTGTGTTGATATCTATAAATTCTTAAGAAGCAAGAAAATACCTAATTTGGTTTGTGTTCTCAGTGTATGTATTCTAATTAGATGGAATTATTCCAGTATGTTCTTTTGTTCTGATGGCTTAAGTGAAGACTCTGTTTCTATAAACTGATTTCCTTTCCCTCCCTCCCTTTCTTTTCCTTTTTTTTTGTCCCCAAGGTGTTGGAGATCAAATCCAGAAACTTATACATGCTAGGCAAGTGCTGTACCACTGAGCCACACCCCCAGCCCATAAGATAATTTCTTATTGACTGTGTTAAAGTTCTTTATGTCAGGCAAGGCTTCTTATTTTGTAATTACTGCTTCTTTTCTTCTTCTACTGATAGTGCAGGGTGATGCGAGACCTTAAAGGAGTTCATGGGAACATAAAGGGACAGTCCCTGGGCTATGCCTTTGCTGAGTTCCAGGAGCACGAGCATGCCCTGAGAGCCCTCCGCCACATCAACAACAATCCAGAAATCTTTGGGCCTCTTAAGGTTAGTCTCATCCTCCGGGGTGACCTGCTCGGAGGGCCAGGCTTGTCTTGTCTGTTCCCCGTTTCTTCTGACCCTGCAGTGTGGGAACAAGTAGTACGTGGGCAAGTGGGGAGGGGAATGAGTGGCGATTCCAGGTGAGAAGGTGATTATAAGGAGCTCTAAACTGGGTAGGCTGCTTGCAGAACTGGCTGTTTACCTTCAGGTAGAGGTAGTGAGCGGCAGCCTCTGTTCTGCAGGAGGTGGCATGGGGGTGGGGACAGCTCAGCTCCTTGTATTTAAAATCTAAGTTTGCCTGAGGCCCTGAGTTCAATCCTCCTAGTGGGCGGGAAGTAATGAAAAATATTTTGTCTCCCTCTGACACAGAGACCAATAGTGGAATTCTCTTTGGAAGATCGAAGGAAACTTAAAATGAAGGAAATGAGGATCCAGCGCAGCCTGGTACAAAACTTAAATAGTCTTTTATGTTTATTATTATTTTTAAGGGCATAATGAAACTTTAATTTTTAGTTTGTGATTCTGCTCCCTTAGAATGGTTCTTTGTCCATTTAGGATTTTTCACCCTTTACTTCCAGTTTGCTAGGACTCTCCAGGCCATCTTCTCCTTGCTATCCCATCTTGTGTTAGGACAGAAGTAGACCAGTGTTCTTTTTGTTTTGTTTTTTGTCTTTTTGAGACAGGGTCTCGCTATGCAGTTCAGGCTGGCCTTGAGCTCACTTTGTAGCCCAGGCTGGTCTCGAACTTGCAAGGATCCTCCTGCGATCCTCCTGCCTCAGCCTCCCGAGTGCTGGGATTACAGATGTGTGACACCATGCCCGGCCTTCAGTGTTGTTGGTCAGCAGTTTGTGTATAGTGTTTGGTGTGAGCCATATTGAACCTAATAACAGAGGTGCAGGTTTTATGTGGCTTAATGGTTTTAGCTGTCCCTTCCAGGAGTCTTTTTTTCTTTTTACCAGGTCCAGAAATGTGATGCCTGGTGGTTTTGTTTTTTTTTTTTTTTGGTACCTGGAATCAAATTAACGACCTTGCGCTTGCTAGGCAGGCGCTGTGCTGCTGTGCTATATCCCCAGCCTGCCTGGTGCTTTTAGTACAGTTTCTAATCTTGTGTGGTAGAGAGGCAATAGTGGGGCTTTGGGAACAGGCATACTTGCATTCCAACCCTGGTTCTGCACCTTTTTGGCTCCATGTTCCTTGGCAAATTACTTCCTTTCTGAGCCTGTTTATAAGATAGGTTAACAACATCTGCCTCACTTAATTGATGAGGATTAAATAATTGTCATTGCTTAGCTTGCTGCATGATCAGTGTGGAGGAATACTCATTCCCTTGCCCACCTACCCCTGGAACATACAGGGCCAGTTTATTAGGGATTACATAAGTATTATAGCTCTCACCAATATCATGCCTTAACTTGCCTATGTAGTGAACATTTGTAGTCTTTGCAGTATGTGCCAAGAACATGACCAGTGGATGAGCAGTTTCAGTGGTTAAGATAGTGACTCTGGGTTAGAGGACCTGGGATCTGGTTATTGTTCAGATCATCATTTTATCTCAGCTAATACAGCTGTCCCCTGCCTTTAGCTATTGCTTCAGGGTGACCTGCATTATTTGTTGCATATACCTGTGCGCATACTATGCTTTTCTTGTGAAAATGCCCCTGTCTCCCGACTCAGAGGGTGCTTCTCACTGTCCATGTTCAGGTTAGAGGAGCTTTCCTCAGGTAGCCTTCTCCCACCTCTCAGATAAGCCCTCATTTCTTGAACTTCATTAAACAGTTTTTTTTTTTAGTTTACTTTACTTATGAATGCATCTTTTACCTCCACCAGGCTATGAATCCTGAAAGGTAGACTCTTTATTTTTTTATATCTGTTCCCGTAGAAACAGTCTGGCACATAATCGGTGTATAATAAGTGTTGGTTGTATCAGTGTACATATCTAGATCTTCACGGTAAGAGGGCAAAGTAGCAAACATTTATTTAAGTTAACATTAGTTTCTCTTGAATCTTCTTCCACTTTTAGTGCAAATAAATCTGAAATTCTTTTATTACCTTCTTTGTTTGAAATCATAGCGTCTTTTCCTAGTCTTCATTTATTCTCTATCTAATGCTCTTTCTTTCTTTATCTGAGTTTTTGACTTATGTCATTTTCCTATTCTGTGAAGAAATTTGTTTAGCATTTCTTCCAAAGCAGGTTTGGTACCATATTTCCTCAGTTCTTTGTCTGAGAAGGTCTTTATTTGTCCTTCCCTTTTTTTTTTTTTTTTTTGGCCCCAGGAATTGAACCCAGAGCCTTGCACTTGCCAGGCAAGTGCTGTACTGCTGAACTACTTCTTCAGCCCTCTCTTTCACTTTTGAAAGATAATTTTTTTGGATACAGAATTCTAGGTTGGTGATTGTTTTTTTTTTTTTTTTAAGGACTTTAAATATTTCAGTCCATCTTTTCTTGCTCTGTGGCTTCTGAAGAGAAATGAATGTAATCTTACCCTTGTTTCTCTGTATGGAAGATACTCCTGATTTCTTTCAAGGTTTTTGTTTTTGATATTTTATAGTTTGACTCTGATATGTCTGTGTGTAGATTTTTTGGTATTTACCTTTTTGTTTTTGTCTCAGCTCCTAGGCCTGTGGCTTAGTGTCTATCGCTGAGTTTGAAAAAGTCTTAGTCCATTACTTCATCTCCTCTGGCGGGTACTTTCTTTCTTTTCCTGGTATTTCCCTTCCGTGTGTGTTATGTCTTTTGTGATTGTCTCTCACTCCTGCCTTTTGAGTCTTGGGTGAATACTATGTTTCTATATTATGGAAAGGGGAATGGTTATTTTGTGTCCCTATCCAGTAACTGTCACAACGGCAGGGCTTCTGAACTGCTTGTAGTTCCAGTTCCAGTTCTACTTTTCTGTAGTCTCCAGCTGTGTGAGGGAAGAATTTTTCACCAAGGTCACATGAAGCTCCTCCTTTGGTGAGGTTTTGTAGCAAACATATCTCATCCAAAAGCCAGATAGCAGTTTCTTGTTTTCTGCAGCAAAAAATGAAATCGAAGCCTGCAGCCAGTGAGTCTCAAAAGCAGAAGAAAGAACCTGTAAAAGAGAAGCAACAGAAGGCAGCTCAAAACCACATGCAAGATCAAAGCAAGGCCCCCCCAGGACAGAAGAAGAAGGTGGGCTCCACCTCATGGGCAGGGTTCCAGACCAAGGCCGAAGTAGAGCAGGTGGAACTGCCCGATGGAAAGAAGAGAAGAAAGGTCCTGGCGCTCCCCTCTCACCGAGGCCCCAAAATTAGGTGAGCTACAGAAGGGCGGCACAGAACGGGGTTGGCTTCTAAGCTCGTTTGTTTTTATGTAGCTCTTTCCCTCTTTGTGGCATTCACTTGGATGTAAGATGCTTAGTGGTATGCCAGGCATACCTGGGAAGAGGAGTGTTAACATGTAAGACTCCACCAGCAGAGATGTTACTCTTGGATCAAATGGTAGAGATAGCCTCAGAGGAGCCATCTAGGACAGGCTTTGAAGCCTTTTTTCTCTTTTGAAAAGCTTCTTCCTGTCCAGATGGCCAGTTCTGTCAGCAGAGGCCACATAACTTGAGGCTCAGCTATAATTTGTGTTTGAGACAACAAATTTAGTGTTGTGTACAAAAATGGATCTTTATGAAATATTTGTTAAGGTAATGAAAATTTTTGTGATTTGCATGAAGTTTTAAGCCAAACAAAAAACCCCCCTCTGAAATACAAAAAACCCAGCAAGTATGCAGATGTAGAATAGTCTGTCACAGGATCCCATTTTAGAGTGACTTATCCTATCCTGGGCTTAGAACTGTGTAAAAAAAAAAAATTATCTCTTGGGCTGAGAGAGCTCAGAAGGACTCAGGGTGACACTTGGCCATCTTACTGCAGGTTGCGAGACAAAGGCAAAGTGAAGTCCCTCCCTGCCAAGAAGCCAAAAGCCCAGATAAAGCAGTGGAAGCAAGAGAAACAGCAGCTGTCGTCCACGAAGGTGAGTTCCGCAGGGCACATGGCAGGGTGTGCGGCGGCGCTGCTGTGTGGCAGCTGACTGAACAGCGAGGCTTCTTGGGTTACAGCTACATGCAGGGCCATGGCTCTTGAGAGGATGTCTGGGAAGTCATAAAACTGGAAATAAGAGTAAAATTAACCCCCATATCTTATCACTTTGCTTCACTAGTTTTCCCTATTTTCCATGCCTGCTTTTCCCTCACTAGAGTATATGAAAGAAAACCTTACTTCCCATGTAAATATATCTCTAGAGATAGATTGCTCAGAAAAACCATAGATTGTGTCTCTAATCAGGCTACATGCACATGCATATTATGTCATTATCATGGCTACTAAAATGAACCCTTTATATCATCTAATACATAGAAGTTCTCCTAGTTGCCGCAAAATGTTTTTTATACTTGTTTAGTACCAGGCAGGATCCGAAGTCTGCACTTGTACATGTGCTTTATATCTCTTAAATCTTTGTTTATTATGTACTGTTCACTCCTTACACCTTTTTTCCCCCTTACATCCTTTTTTTGAGGCAGGATCTCGCTGTGTAGTTCGTGCTGGTCTTGACTTCGTTATGTAGTCCAGGCTGGCCTCACACAGTGATCTTCCTGCCTCAGCTTCCTGAGTGCTGGGATCACTGTAGTTTTAACAGCTAATGAGCTGTGTTATGTTAAACCATTATTTCATTATGGGTTGCATTATGGGATGATTTTCTAATTCCAGTCAATTATTCTTAAATATTTTAATAGAATTCTAGAAAGAAGAGTCTTAGTTATCACAAAATACCATTTATATAGGAAAGTCAGGGGAAATGCTTGCTTTTTTCCTCTCTGTATCAAGTTTCCAGAGTAATTGCCCTACCAACCACTAGAATTTTTTTGTATTATGAAGTCCTGATTTTCATGTACTCAATCCAGCCATTACTCTTATTCTGGTCTTAGGCTAGCACAAGCCTCTTCAGGTTGGCTTCTGAATCTTTCTAATGTGACCACATTGTTCTGGACAGTGTTCCCGTTTTCTAGTACAAGAAGTCCCAGACTGGTCTTATATGCTTCTTTCCAGTCTGAGCACTAGCCATTTTCCCAAAGAGCCTTAGTTCCTTTTGGTGGAAAATGCTGGCTCTGTTCTTGAAAATTTGAGGTCACACTTTCTTTTTTCTTCCCTAGTCCATCTCCTTTAACAGTGAAAGAAGCATCAACTTTGTGTCCTATTCAAGAAATCTCTCTGGGAAAGTTTTGACTTTGCATACTATATTCTAGGATCTATCTCTGAAATTCTATAAAATGGTAGTATTCTTTGTGAGGGTAGAGGCAGTGGAGATATCCAAATCTTGGGTCATGTTGAGGTTAAAGTGAGCACTTGGGAGCTGGAGTTGGAGAGGCCTTGAAACAACCACACAAGCACTTGCGTTGCGTCCTGCTGCCATGTACTCTTGGTCTAATCCCAACCATTGGATGATTCTGTTTGAGCTCTTCTCTCCAAGGGTCTGTGGGAGCCTGCCTCTTCTGATGGACATGATACCTGTACTTACGTATTTTCTGTTAGTGGCTTAAAGGTAAGGTGATATTTAGAGTTTGAAAATAATTATCTTCTGCCTCTTTTCTTTTCCTTTGTAGAATCCTAGGAAAAAGGCTAAGGGAAACAGGACAGAAGCTCACTTCAACCAGCTGGTCGAACAATATAAGCAGAAACTGTTGGGACCTTCTAAAGGTGCACCTCTTGCAAAGAGGAGCAAATGGTTTGATAGTTGATGCGGCTGGTAGCCTGGGTAAGAAGATGGGTGTTACTTTCTGGTGAAGCTTAGAATCCAGTCCACCTCCCATGTCTTCCACAAGGGAAAGAAGATTCCTGGTGGCCCCTCTGCTGGGAGGCTCCTTGGGCTTTGCACTTCTGAACTGTGGTCCTCATGTAGTTTGTGGTTAGTCACAAATACCCCCCAAAGTCATGAAGCTTCTTGGATATTATCTACATTATTGTGTGAAGTTGTATCTATGATTATTACCTGTTTTTTTAAATCTCTGATTCTCAGATGGAAATAACTGTAAAAAGCATTCTGGAGTATTGAATTTTTAAGATGTATATTTTGTTAGGCATCCTCTAAATGAGATACTGTATGGCTTTTTGAATAACAGACTGGGTCTTATTTCTAATATATGTAAATTTGTTATTATTTATGAATATTTTGAACATTCCTGACTAATTCAGTTATTTGGTCTTATGTACTTTAGGAGTTGCCTAAATGAGAACAGAGAAAAATGTGTACTGGCCTGTTCTCTGCAAGTGAGGCACACTGGCTTAGCAGTTGAGGACAATAGGCCTGACATAGAGTAGTGCCTCCTGGGTCCACATGAGAGGGGAGTGGCTGGTAGCTGACTAAGAGATTGGTTTGCAGCGGTACAGATGCTTGCCTGGCCAGTGATGTCTACATTTTTTTCATGGAGCACTTCCTCCTGGGGACTCAGAAGTAGTAGGTGTGGGAAACGGCAGTGCACATGAAGCCCGGGCTCTAGCCTAGGTACCATTACTCTGTGGATTCTCTTGGGTCTTAGTTTCTTCATCTGTAGAATAAGCAGTTTAAATGTTGTTTCCTAGCTCTAAGCTTTTCTAGCTCATTCTTGTCCATATTCAAATTCTTTCTCTTTTCTAAAGAAAACTCAAGTAGGGGGTGAATACTAGGGAGGCAAGGTTCACAAGGCTCCTCCTGATATGAAGAATGAGCAGAGTCTGACAGGTAAAAATTACTGGGACAAACAAATCCCTGTGCCTGGGTCTAAATACCCAGCTGCACAGCTTCTGGAGGGAAAGTTGGAGTCACTGAATTCCCGTTACAAAGCAGCATTCTGGCACTACAAGTGCAAGGGGACTTCTAGGCTGTCACAGTAGACATTTGAGGTCTTGAGTAAGGTGCTGTACTCTGAGCTGGTCAGCACCTGCAGTGACCAGTAAGTGAAGGAAACCAAAATACTAGTGAGGCTGGTCATGGGCAAGTGAAAATTTGTTACATACTGTTCTCTCTGCTTCTGTGAGCATTTGAAAATTTCCATAAGAAAAAGCTCAAAACAAAACATTAGATGAGTAGCTGAAGGAAAGTGTATGGGCCAGTGTTGGAATGGAATTCGTGGACTGCATTAGATGTGGGGAGAGTCCAAAGAGGGTGTAGAGACAGATTCCACAGGGAGTCAGTTTGGTTCAGAATGGGGGAGAACTGTTTGTTTTTTTTTTGTTTTTTTTTTATGTCTTTTTGAGACAGGGTCCCCCTACACAGTTCAGGCTGGCCTTGAGCTCACTTTGTAGCCCAGGCTGGTCTCAAACTTGCAACAATCCTCCTGCCTCAGCCTCCCAAGTGCTGGGATTACAGGCATGTGCCACCATGCCCGGCTTCAGAACTATTTAATGTAGTTGTCAGAGAAGTATGAGCCCCTCTCTGGTATGATCCCAGTGTGGATGGTCTCCAGTGCTACAGAGTTATGCTAGAGGAGATGGTAAAGATTGGTCAGGTCGTTAATGTTTGGTTCCAAGATGACCTGAAGACATGCCTCGTGTCGCACCTTAGTCCCTGAGGCCCCTTCTAGAGACTGGCTGTCTTTGTCCGTACATACCCTTCATACACTCCATTCTCATTATCTCTGCTTCTTAAGATAATTTTAGCTCCCGTGGTTGCTTATCTGACTTTGACTAGAATTGCAACGAGCAATGTGCTGGTCTCTCCAGCCCAAGCATCTCTTCTACCTTGTCTTTATCCACGGTCTTCTCTGTCCACTCCTGGCCACACAGGCCTGCCTTTAGTTCTCTTGACTCTGACCCCTCAGAGCCTTTGTGTTCCTGGACATAAAGCTCCGGGAGAGCTTTCCTCTGGATGTTCACATGTCTCAGTTCTTCACTGAGCTGTCACTTCTTCTGGAGCACATCTTTGACTATTTAAAGCAGGGCTTTTTTTGGGTGTGTGTGCCTCTTATGAATTTTGTTACCCTTTGTTTTCTTCCTAGCGCTCATCACTATCTGAAATCATTTGTCTCCCCAGTTAACATACCTGCTTTAAAGAGAATTTTTTTTGTTTGCTTCTGTGGAAACAGCACCTACTACTGAGCCTGTCGCCTAGTAGGTATGGAATACATATTTACTGAATGAAAAAAAATAAGGGAGGAGAGCAAGAAACAGTACTTAGTAGACAGGAGAAAAAGTTGGGAACATAGCCCAGAGTGCTTGATTCCTCCCCAGTGCTACAAATGCTTTCATAGAACCATTGCTGAATTAGAGATTGGAACTGTTTCATGCAGTGTCTTGGAAACTAGTGAATTCTTCAGAATGCCCTTAATTGGTATGGAAAGGTGAAGGAGAGGCCATGAAAATATTTAGACCTTTTGGAGAGATAAAGGACAAGGGCCATCTCCAGGGTCTTTATATCAGTTAGGGTTTACTAGAGGAACAGATATTTTTTTTGAGACAGGATCTCACTATGTAGTTCAGGTTGTCCTTGAACTCACTATGTAGCCCAAGCTGGCCTCAAATTTGTGATGATCCTCCTGCCTCAGCCTCCCAAGTGCTGGGATTACAGGCATGTGCCACTATGCCAGGCGGAAAATGTATATGTAGTTATGTAAAAGATTTACAAGGTAGCCTTACAGTGGCCACCTGCAGAATCAGGAGTGAAAGAGTACAAAATAGGCTGCCTGTGTGCTGGACAACCAGAGGATTCAGTCAGAGGTGGAAGGCCTGGGGCTCACTGCAGAGTCCAGCACGAGTCTGTTTGAAAGCCAGAGGGTCTGTGTTGGAAGGCTAAAGGAACTAGAGCCGATGTCCAAAGGCAATGGTAACAACTAGATCACCTTTAAAGAAGAAAGGGTGTGGGAAGAAGAAAAGGGGAGACTTCCTTCCCTATTTACTCTGTCCAGGCTTTGCCAGCCACACCTGCATGGGTCTTCCTCCCTTAGTTTACTGCCTACATGTCAGTCATCTGCAGAACACCTGAGCTTTACTAATCTGCTAGGCACTTCTTACTCAAGTCAGATCAACGTGAGACAGAATGTGGAAGTTTCAGATATTCTTACAGGCGCCTGGCAACTCATCGGTCCTAACTCTGGAGGAAGAAGGTCCTTTGTTAAGGTGTCACTGTGGCTACAGCCTGCTTGTGAGCTGATCTCTGCACGTGGGCAACTCTGTATCTGCTCACTACTTTTTTACCAGTATACAAACGTCCTTAGGATTTGAAAATATATCTGAGTATTTAGAATAGAATTAGTGTTCTTTTAGATAGTTGTTGCCCGATTCTCTTAGATCCAGATATTTCTTCTAACAGCTTTAGCAACTCAGTGTGTTAAAACACCAGCCAGTTCCTTGGAAAGTTATTATTGCACAGTTTTTTAGAAGAGTGATATGAGGACGAATTATCTGCTTTCTCAACAACCAGACTCCATATGTGGTGCTGTCCTTTGGGACACCTTCCCATGGGTTCTTTGGTCAGCTCACTGAACCCCTACCTTGCGAGTGTTAATGCCATGAGAGTGTGCTCACTTCTGTTGACTGTGTTTTAAAGTCTGATGTTTGTCGAAGTGGGATTTTCAGAATTAACATAAAAGTTGAGTTACAGACTGACTATTTGGTTAACAAGAACAGTAAACATTTTTGTTAATGTCAAAGACCAAAGGCCATCAGTCAAAAATGATTAAGTTTCAGTTGCATTTTTCTGTTTGACTCATAGCAGCCTGACACAGAGATACGACCTCTAAAGACTGAAGATGGTGGGCAGATATCTCTTTGCCTTGGTGATTTCTTTTTTCTCTTGTGAGTATTGGGGATTGAACCCTGAGCTCCAGCCCCAGCTCTTTGTATTTTTTATATTGAAACAAGTTCTCACTAAGTTTCCCAGGCTGGGCTCAAACTTTTGATCTTTCTGCCTCAGCCTTCTGAGTAGCTGGAAGTAACAGAAGTGTGCTACCATGACTGGCTAGTGATTAGTTATGGAGGAGCATGAAGATTAAGGACATCCCAGCCATCTGCTGCAGTGATCTCTTTTCTTTCTTGCTCAGGTGCATGTCTCTCACGTTAGGTGGTTTAACAATGTCAGTTCCTCTCAGATTCTACTCCATTTTTCTTCTCTCCTGCACTAGCGTCTAAGCCTCGGTCCGCCAGCAGCCCCCCTCAGATGTTGCTTAATCTGTCTTACAGGCAGAGCTCTTCCCGTTACTGTCCCCCTGTCACCCAAGGGATTCCAGTCTTCATGCAGAGTTGGACTGCAAAAGGTGAATGCAGGAAACTCTAATGTAAGAAACTGACTCCATCATTTGCTCCTCAGCCTGTCTCCCAGCTCTCCCTCCTCTTCCTCTGATGCTTCACTGTTATGTGTATTTTTCAGCTAAAAGAGACTCAGGCACTATGCTTTGGTGACATTGTCCCTTTGGATGCTAACATAGGAAACATGCTATCTTTGTATTCTGGCCCATGGTGGGGAAGACCCTATCATAGTACTTGGCACCTGGGTTGGAGGAAGAGGCCCAAAACATTGTTCCTATGGTATTTTTAATAGAGGGTGAGATTAAAGTATACCTTTCTAATAGGAATTGTGTGTGTGTGTGTATGTGTGTGTATTATTTTATTTTTGGGGGGGCAATTGAGAGAGGGTCTTGCTCTGTAGCCTGGGCTGGCCTCGAACTAGCAGCAATCCTCTTGCCTCAGCCTCGTGAGTGCTGGGATTGCAGGCGCACTCCACCGTGCCCAGCAGGATAATATATTTTTAAAAGCACCTGACCAACCTCTCTTCTCCAGTGTAATAGGAGCCATCACTTGGGAGGTAATCTAGCCATCAAGAGTGGCACCACTTGGCAAAAGGGTCCTGGAGAGAAAAGCAAGCTATTATTTCAGAGGGGGGCAGTGCCACAAGCAAAATGAAGAACAGCTCTTGAGGGCAGAGTACTTTGACCCCTTCCAAGCCAGTGCTGTCCATTTACAGATCTGGAAATGGCCTCTCTCATCAAGAGAAGTCCTCAGTGCTGGCCAGCACCCCTGGAGATGCACATCCCGCCTTTCTCAGGATAGCTGCTGGGAGGTACAGTGAGGGCGCCAGGTCCTCTAACTGGATTTCAGTTCTGAACCTGTCAGCAGGAGGGAAACTTGTGGTGTTTCCTGTCAGAAGGCGAGTTAGCCTTGAACCGTTTCACCCATCCTGTCACTAGCCAATGGCCCGTAGCCATTCGACACCTGAGTGACTGCTGAACCAGGAGTGACCGGACATTTCTTTGTAGTCTGGCTGTGTTAAGTTGTGGTCGAATTACAACCACAGACAGGTTCCCTGCAGATCCTGGAGTTGGCAACTAACCAACAAAAGCATTCTGAAAAATTGATTATGTATAGACTTACAATAAAGAGCATTGTACATTTTATTTTTATTTGTAAATCATGTGCTGCGCATTGTTTTAGTCCATAAGGTTTGTAATAAATTTACATACATATATACATACATGGACATGTGTGTTTTCCCCTGAGATCTCATTTTAAGCTTTTACTAGCACACCACTGCTGTAAACCTTTTTTGTCTCCTGTGCACAGGGCTCTGGGAGTACCTAGTCCACCGCTTTGAGGTATCCTCACTTATTTAGTTGCCAAAATAGGGTTCTTCCTAACCTTCCAGACTTTCTTTTTTTTTTGCGTGGTGCTGGCAGTCAAACCCAGGGCCTGTGTATACTTGGCAAGCACTTGACCACTGAGCCCCCAGCTCCTGTCCCTTCCTGGCTTTTTCTTTGGGGTTCATCCCCATACCTTTTGTTTTTTGAGACAGGGTCTCACTGTGCAGTTCAGGCTGGCCTTGAACTCACATGTAGCCCAGGCTGGCCTCAAACTGTTGGTGATCCTCCTGCCTCAGCCTCTTGAGTGCTGGAATTACAGGTGTGTGCCATTATGTCTGGCCTGCTGGCTTTTTCTTACCTTCACCTCAAGACTTGGTGAATAGCTTGGTGGTTAGAGTACTTGGCTGGCATGTGTGAGGCCTTGGCTTCCATCCCTGTTACTGCAAGGGAGGAGGTGTTTGATTGCTTATGGATAAATCCTTGTCAGTCCTAGAAGCTCAGCATTAGGCCCTTGGCCTTTCATAGTTACCCATGCATGACATGTGCATGGGTATTCAGAGGAAAGTTGGTTCTGCCAGGTAAAATAGTGCCCATAGAGACCGGTCCTTTTTTCTTACAGGGTCCTCTAAAATGATGAGTGTTATGGGAAGTTCATGCCTCACAGGCTTTGACATGGAAAGCTACTTTTAGCCAGAATGGGTTTAGCACCCTTTTCAAACCACACCTTGGGACACTGCCAATGGGTGGGGCTTGGTGCAGCCTCAACTGGGTGCCTCCTGCAGCTGGTGCAGGAGAAGGACCAGCTTTTGCAGACTTGGTATCATGTGCGTCCAGGATGTGTGCTGAGCGTGAACATTGGTCCTGCAACCTGCGGATTGCCCGAGTGGGGCTGCCTGGCTCAAACCTCTTGCATTTTTCCTATCTTGGTGAGCTCCCGTCAAGCTTAGCAAAGGTCCCTGATGAGAGGATGTGGGGAAGTGCAGACCCTTTCCGAGTTCCCTCTGCTGCCTGAGACAGGCCCAAAGCACCATCTTCAGGGGCTACTTAAGGAGTTATCTGTGGTATTTGAGAACACTTTGCTAGGTACACCAAATGCTTTTAGGGTCAAAATTTTTTTTCTTTTTTTGAAGTAAGTGGTAATAAAGGGAAGGGCATTTTCATTCTCACATGTTTGGATGGTGAAGCCTTTAAAACTTCCTTCATGTAATCTGTGTAACACAGTTTTTACGACGTTACTGACTTAAAAATTAAGCCCTTTGCTTGACCGACCTACCCCCACCACCACATTACTATCAGGGCAAAAATAACCAGTCACATATATTTCTGAGATTTTTTTTCTCCTGTGTTACCAGAAGCCAAAGCACACACTTACATACATACAAATAGGTGAAAAGAGTTGGAGCCCTGAGCATGTTTATTTTGTGATTTCCTTGGCCAGAGCCTGCTTCATACCTTGGCTTGGAGCTGCTAGCACACAATGGGGTGGATGGGCCCATGTGCTTTTATAACCGCCTTTCCCAGAATCTGGAACCCCACAGACAGCTCCATTCCCTGGAGGTCAGAAGATAATGGCTGTTTTCCACAGTCTTGAAAATCTCTGGGGAGAGCCATGGCAGTGTGACAAGGGCTATTAAAGGGACATTAGGATTGAGTGGCTGCTCAGGGAATCACATACCCTTGATCCCAGCTGCAGGGACAGCTGCCAGCACTGACCAGTTGCAGCCCTGCGGCTGGCTCTGTGTGGGTCTTGCGGCAACCAGCCACTGGAGCAAGTCCCAGGGAAGGGGACAGGTTCCTGGAAGAACCACTTGCTTTCTCTGCTTTCATTCTCCACACAAGAATGAGCACGCTAAATTAAAATGATCGTTAATAATATCAGCTAACAAGTACCCTGCTTCCTGTGTGGCAGGCATGTGCCGAGGATTATCTCATTAAGCAAAATGCTTATCCAGTCCTCGCCCCGTGACCAGAGGCCAGATGAAGAAGATTGAAGGAATTCTCTGTGTGGGAAGACAGATGCGCCCTTCTCTGTTTGCAGACCTTCAGTGACAGGAAACTCCCTGCCTGCCCTGCCTGAACACCTCCTGCATTTTTCCACATCTCAGGACGGTGTGTCCAGGGATTGAGGCTAATAAACAGTCTCGGGGCCCTCAGCAAAGCCTTGGAGGGCTCCGTTAGTGAGCCTGCCTTCTCCCCGCGGAAGGTCTTTCTTCCTTCCCTCTGCCCAACTTTTTTCGGGGGGTGGGGATATACTTGGTAGTGAACGGGTACTTAAAACCAGTACAGTGACTGGTCTCCAAGGTCATTCAGGAGGCATACATTTTAGCATGGGCGTGCTTATATTTCTGGCCAGGCAGGGCACACATGGGATCCCAGGGACCTGCCATGGAGCCTCTGGATTTTGAGCATCTTGGTGGCATGAGTCTTGACAGGGATCCGTGCCCTTTCCTTTGGGGTCAGTAGGTGGATTTGAGCTGCTCCAGGAAGGTGAGAGACAAACAGGTGAAAGCCAGAGGCTCCTGAGGGAGCCTAAGTTCAGCAGCCCTGTAAGAAGAGCCGGGCCCTTCTGCGCTGACAAGCAGGGAAGATGGGCTGCTGGTCGTGTACCCTTTGGGGCTAAACTCACCCTCTGCCACTTCACAGCTCAGCTCTCCAAGGCTGCAAGGACACAGGGACAGACCTTGGGTAGGGACGTGACCTTGGGGAAGGACAATAAAGCCCACTTTGCAGAACTGGTAGCAAGTACCAAGTGAAATAACTAATGTAGAAAAATAGCCCACAGGAGAGTACTGGGGAGTGTGGGAAGAAAGGTCGCTGGTGCTTTTTGCCCCAATATCCTGAGTTCACAGAAAAGAGGGGAAAGGATGGCTTTCCACCTCTAAGATCAGGCTGATTTCTACCCTCTTCTGCCCATGCTCAGGGAGCCCACGTGTGGGGAGGTACAGCCAGAGTCCTGTGTGCTGGGCCTGCTTTGCAGCCTCTGCAGGGACACAGGACCAATGGGTGAGGCTTTGCGCCTAGAGCCATGCAGGGAGAGGAGAGTGTGCCTTGTCTCCGTGTGTTACCTCCACGAGGAGCTGGCTGCGCCACGTGAGCGGGCCCTTGGGGTGCAGGGCTGTGAGAAGCTGGCTCTCTCTGCCCTTCTACTTCCAACCTTTGCTAATCGATCTCGACACTCTCAGCCTGGACCTTGGCAGACTTTCAACACAGCCGGAGTTGGCATGTGAGGTGAAGCTCACTTGCCAATTTGCAGTAAGGGAACAGCCCTCTTTGGCAAACGAGGACACAGAATTACCCACTGCCTGTCAGCAGACTCATGCTAAGTTGCAGGCGTGGCAGAGAGGGTCTTAGGGTGTTATCATCTTAATCCTCACTACCAGGCCAGGAGGTGGGTGCTGCTAGTGTGCTCATGGGATGATCAGAAAAGACAGACTCAGCTGGATGTGGCTCAGTGGTAGAGCACTTGCATAGCATGTGTGAGGCCCTGGATTTCATCCCCCGTGCCACAGAAAAAGAAAAAAAGACACTTTAAAAAGGCTCAAGGCAGGCCAGGCCTTTGTTTACTCAGACAGGGCTCCACAAGGAGCTGCGGAGAGCACAGAATCGTTCCTGTGGTCTTAAAGCACACATCATGGCAACCAAGCACACACTTGCCCCATGTTTGATCTGTGCCTAGGTTCTAACCCTGCTCTGCCCAGAGCCCTTAGGGTTCGTGTTCTGGGACTGGGCCTCCACTTAACCTTCACTGTGAAAACAAGTCATGGGAGAGAGGAGGCACCGAATGTGCTTCTGAGGCCTGTGCAAGGGTTATAACAAGGAAACCTGGACTTCTAAGGAAAGCAGAATGTAGCGCTTAGCACTCATTGTTTGCTGGGACTCTGTAATGAAGTTCCACATATTAGGTGGCTGAAGAGATTTATTGTCTCACGGTTCTGGAGGTCAGAAGTATAAGTCAGTCTCAGTAGTGCTGGTTCCTTCTGAGGGCTGTAAGGCAGACTACAATCCTTACCTCTTCTGGGTTTTGTAATGGTGCTGGGCATTGAATTTAGGGCCTTGCATTTTAAAGTTTTTGTAATGGTGCTGGAGATTGAATTTAGGGCCTTACATGTGCTAAGCAGTATACTAGGCCACTGAGCTACACCCCTAGTGCCTAATTTTTTCTTTTTTTTCTTTTTTCTTTTGGCCTTTTGAGACAGGATCTCACTGTGCAGTTCAGGCTGGCCTTGAGCTCACTTTGTAGCCCAGGGTGGTTTTGAACTCGCAACAATCCTCCTGCCTCAGCCTCCCGAGTGCAGGAATTATAGGCATGCGCCACCACACCTGGCTGGTTTTGTTTTGGATAAGGTCTCCCTATGTTGTCTAGGCTGGTCCCAGACTTCTAGGCTCAAGCAATCTTCCTGCCTCATCCTCCTGAGTGCTGGGATTACAGACTTGTGCTACCATGCTTGGCTTCCCTTTTAGGGAAGGTAGTTGTAGTGATGGTTATAAATAATGTGAATGTGTATAATACCACTCAATTAAAATGGTAAATTTTTTTTTTTTTTTTTTTTTCAGTACTGGGGATTGAACTCATGACCTTGCGCTTGCCAGGCAGGCACTTATGCCCCTGAGCTATATCCCCAGCCCCAAAATGGTAAATTTTGTTATATGTATTTTATAAGAATAAAAAATTAATATAGTCTGCTATCCAAGGAAAAGATAAATTATTTTGTTTTATTTTAACCCTTTCTTCCCCTGCAGAGATACATCTTGTAAAATTTGATATGTAATATACATATAATCATGAGCTTTTTAATTTCACATTTCTATTGTAGATATTTGCCATTCACCACCTTCAATGCTTGCATAATCTAACATTAGTCCCCCATTGTTAGATATTAAGGTTGTTTCTAAT